AGCCTTGTGTACAGGCAAATGCGCTCATGAGTGAGTGTAAGTTGCCAGTCGCAGGAAATAGGTTTAGTGTTTATACCTTCACAGCACCTGGCATGCACTATAAACATTATTTTTTTTTTCAGCTTTTCAGGTCCTGAGCAAGTTCTCAAAGTTTAATAATTAAGCCATCATCATGGACCAGAGACAAATTTCTCAGGATGGGAGGAACCCTAAAAGGCATCCAGCTTAACTTCCTGGCCTGTTCCTGAATCCCTTCCACCCACCAGACTCCTCTAGGAAGAGGGAACTTCAGATCTTCCAAGATAGTGTTGCATCTCAGAATAGCTTTAAATGGCAATAAGTTCCTCCTTTTACTGAACCCAAATCCTGGTGGCCCTCTTTCCAATCACCTAACTCTAATTCTATGCCACAGGCCCCAGAAGGCAGACCTGCTCCATTTGGGTTGTGAAAACCCTTCAGATGTCTAGAGGCTCTGCTCACCATCTTTTCCATGACCAGCTATCCCCCTTCCTAAGCTGCTCATTAACTGAAATATACCAGGTACTTTCACTCATCAAGGTCACGACACCCCACATGGTCTACATGCTCTTCAAGGCTGGGCTCCAGAACTGATTGTAGCTGGAGAATCCATTGCAACAGAGTCTGCTGAACATCTAGCTGCCATTCAGCCCCAAACCCGAGGGGCTGTGGGGGAGCTTCTCTCAGACATCAGCACTTCTAGCTGCCATTCTGACTGCCTTTGTAGTAGCTTGCATTATTTTCCACAATCTTGGCTGCAACCCCATAGGGCCCCACTGCAGGAGGATCACATGACCCATTGCACTGATGCCAGGTTTGACCTTGTGACTTGTTTGCCCAGATGTATGAGGAGTGCCACTTTTGGGCAGAAGCTTTAAGAGCCACTGTGTCACCCACCTTTCTCCCTCTACCATGAGGTGTACAGTGCCCAGTTATAGTACAGGTTGACCCTTCAGGGCAGGGTCGCAGCCAAACTGCAGGGGGCATATTGGGCCAGCAAGAAACTAACCTTTGTTTTTACAAACCGCTGAGGTCTTGGGGTGCTGTGTCACTGTAGTCTAAATGCACCTCCTCTTTTTGGAGAGCACTCTCCTACAACACAATTTACATAGTTGACCATACCCTCCAATCTGAGATATGACCTAAAATAGTTTGGCCAATGAGGTCCCTCCCCAACTTTCCTCTACCCCGACTTCCACCCAGACATAATGATCTGTACTGGGATCCCAGCAAGCATGGTTTCTGGGACTTTCATTAGAGCTAGCAGAAAAAGAGGTAGTCTTCTCCTGGGGATCGCCAGTTCTAAGTCTATTAGCATAGAACCACCACTCACCATCATTTGGCAAGAAACAGCATGACTAAGAATGACAACAATACAGAAGAAAGCAGGGCCAGGAAATGGAGAAAAATAAGTGAGATTTAGACCCTAGGCTTTGACATGATTCAGGAAATGCAAATAAATTTCCCACTTTCTTTAATCAAGATTTTATTTTCTTTCTGAAACTTGCAACCAAAAACTATAGTTCTGACCCAAAACAGTGCATACCAAAATAGACTCTCATCCCATCTGCCAGTGTCTGGGTGGCAGGAACTTAAAATCAGACTTCTTCTAGCCTGTGGACCAGACAGAACCTAAGCTATTCTAAACTACTAAGAATACGCTCCATTTTTAAAATGTCCTAGGGATATGTGAAAAATAGCTTAACTCAGAAACTCATCCCAGGTCTTAATATCTTCATCTTCTCAACACACTTCCACTCTTGCCAAGTGTCTCTAGCACAGTTTTAACTCATTCTCTTGCATTTCTTATTAGCTTAGGAAATTAGGTGTGAGGTTTTAACAAAAAGTACATAACCACCCACACAGTGCTTGAGTCTGACCCACGTGACCCAAAGAAGTCGGAAAGCAGCTACGAAGCAGTATTACAGCATCACATGTCCTGAGACAACCTGAACTGAGGTGTAGCAGTTAATAATGCGGATTTTTTTTCAATAGATGGAGTTACACGTTAATATATATGCGATTTGATATGTAGGCTATTTTGTTGTATTCACAGAAAGCTTCAAAACTTTATATGTCAAATTTGCTGGAGGAGTTAACATCATAGATATTTTTACGCTTAAAAATGTCGAATTCCGTGCCA